GACAGAGAGCAGCACTGGGGTCTGCATATCCCCAGATCAGGTTCGGCCATGACTGCTGGTCTCCTTACTCTACCGACTCATCTTTTTTTCCTATTGCTATTTTTTTGTTCAGAGCCATCATNCTTCTAATTCTTGATTTATTGCCACTTTTCTTCTGTGTTCCATCTGTGCTGATGAACCTCTTTTTGCTTGTCTGCACTTCCGCAAACTTATTGCTGCTGCTTGCTGCTTGACTTCTGCCCCTGGATCCTTCTAACTCTTTGGAGTCCGTCTTCAAGAAACTAGGGCAAAATTTTTCTCATCACATAGCAGTGAGTCCTACAACTAAATGTTTTGAACCCCGGTATGATATAGTTCTCTTACTTCTGAATTATTCCTTGATAGAGGTTTGATGTGTATTCATCGAGATGGATTCCTTTATGATATCGCCTCGCTCATTCTGCTTCAAAACGAAAATACCTGGAAGATATGAAAATTAGTAGGGTCACATGCTTTTGAACCGAACAACCACATAGCAGGCTCCTAAAAAAACGTTATTCAGGAAGTACGTATTCGATCCGAGTTTGAACGCTTACGGCAGAAGCTCGAGAAAGAAGCAGCCGACGAAGTGCATGCCCAGCAGGAGCGATTAGCTCGGCTCGCTAGGGAACAGGCAGAGAGCAAAGCACCGGAGAAAAGCGAAGGTGGAATTTTTGTTCTTGCATGCACGGCGCAATACCGTTTTTGAGTTCTTTTCTTTATTCCTTTCGTATTGCTTTCAGAAAAGAATGCTACTCTTCGAGTCAAGTGGAAACCTTCAGAAGGCAGCGACTATGATGAAGAGAAATTGCGAAAACTTTTTGAAAACGTATGACATTTTTCGTATATTTTGGAGGGTCCCTGTAGGTGGTGTACATTTTGAGATTGCATGATCATTTCTATTTCTAGTATGGCCCAATTTCGATGATAACTCCTATTCGAACAACGAAAAAGGGTGATCGGATTTGTATGATCGAATTCGAGACTAATCATAGTGAATGGGGAGCCGAATTGGAGCGTGGAAAAGACGGCCCGGAGATTTCTGGTAAATACGCCTACTGTTTTTTTCGGTTATATTTTCTCTGCTGATAACAAGATAAAAGTAGCTGCGAGTTGTGTCAGATGTGATGTTTTTTTGCTTGTCGGAGTGGTAAACAAATCTTTTAGGGAGCTGGCTCATCCCTCCGCAAGCGTCTAAAGATGGAGAAAAGGAGACCACCACTGACAACGAGAAACGTTCAGGTTAGCAATTCATGGCTTCATAGCAATTCGTTATTTTCATTTGTAAGAAAGGCCTCGGGTAAATGTAGCATACGGATCTAGTTACTTTATGGGTAGGTGGACAAGCCGACCGTCTTTCTCCATCGTTTAGTAGTGCATTGTATTACCAGTTAATTGTTTTCAGATTTTGCATCAATGAGTTATGAAGAATTACAAGCTCAGCTCTTCGGTGACATGCCTCCACCAGAAAAACGTAAAAAATGGTATGAGGAAGAGGAACAATGATCTCATGCGCAATTACTTTTTACTTTTAACTATTTTTTCGGTTATATAAATTCGATTTGAACTTTGACTTGTTGGCTTTTTTCACTTGGTGCAGAAGTCTCTTTTGATAAGAGACTCAATCCTCAGTTTGAAAAGACTAGTTGTATGTTTATTTATCTATTTATTTATCAGGGAGTTTAATTCTCATTCTTTTTTGCGCTCTTGTTAGCTTTTGTTGTCATAATTTCGCGATTTTCTTGTAGAAAGTTGTTACAGAAGAGTTTCGCCACCTTGTTCGTAAGGCATTCGACTTATATTCGTTTTTGATGAAGGTAATTGGTCTCTGGTGGTGTAAATTGTTTTGTATAGCTTCTTATTGATCGATTGAATTCAACAATGAAAATTTATTGATAACGGAACATGTGATAATGGTTGTTGTAAGATATTCTTGTTTCACCAGCAACGCGGATCTATAGTTAGGCGACAAATTTGGTAGACTGAGTACGGTCGATGGGCCTGTAAGTAAGAGTATATTGCCTGAATAAGAATAAATAATAATGGTCAGGCTTCCAAGGGTGAAAGAGGTGGCAGGACGTGTGCAAGGAGGAACTCATCGAAATCAAAGAACGGGAGAAGATACCATAGACAGAAGGAAGTGGAATCAATTACAAGAAAAGGGGGTCCTTTGACGATGCGGAGCCACGCTTGGGAAAAAGGAAAAAATAAGAATCTTAGAATAAGTGTGGTATTCTGGTGACCTAGTCATAAGCAGTCCCCAATCCTGACTATTGCGATGACAAGATCGTTCAGCCATGCCTTAGCCTACAGCCAACGGACCGAATAGCGACAAGTGGGATGAGTGGGCTCGGTCCATAATACGACAGTGAAGACTCTGCGTCCCAAAATCTCTAAGATCTGCTTATTCGAAATTAAGGATGATAAGATAAAGTCTTTGTCGTTAGTCAGTCCCGTTTTGGGTTGCGTCCTGCACTCGGGTCCCTTTCAGTATTGTAAGGGAGAGAATTGAATGCGTAAGTGGGTGGCAAGTATTCATGTAATAACTCGTGGTGGCAGCCCATGTTCAACTCAGTGCTTTTATCCTCTCGGCGAGTACGGTGCTCATCATTCGACACCAGGGAGATGGAAGTCTTGGTTTGCGCAAGTGTCTGGGTGAGCATCGACCAGGGATTTGATCCCGAGAGGGTGCGTGTGTGATAGTACGCCACTTGCCACTTTGCTACCACCGACCTATTCAAGATGTGGTTATTGTACATATCTTGCTTCACGGATAGATGGTATGGAAACAGAAATGCGATTTCTGATAAGAGAAATCAATCAGAAAATGAGGCAGAATAACTCAGTTGGAGCATTGCTGTTTTTGTTTACTTATCGATTATTATTATAACGGATACTTACTTAAAGCGTTCTTTTTCCACGTAGTCCCTTGAGATTCATGTAGGGCATCCGTTTGCCACGCAACCCTCGGAATCCTTTGAACGTGAATCCATCATCAACACCGTAGAGTGATCGCTTGTATACTTCGGGGACCAGATCCAGGTACGGGTATTGCTGAAAGAAAATGTCTGTAGTATCTACTTCTACTGGGAGCAGGATCGAGTGATCGGAAGCTTTTTAGCTCAAGAATTTCTGCTTACTATTCTTCTCTGGGCCCTGATGGAATAGGCCTGTAAAATGTCTTCGTGTTTGTTAGTTTGGATCGTTCCCAGATACTATTTCGAATGTAATTTTAAGCGATTAGATCAAGTTCTACTCTGAAAGAAGTTCATGCCATTTACCCATATCTGTGGGTAATCATAACAAGGGCCACACATCGACATACACATACTCAGCTACTTTTTTATCGTTCTGGATCAAAATAGCTGATGTAGCCAGTAAAAAAACTAAATTATAGGGGGGTCACATCTGACCGATCCAACTGCCCTTCTCCCCAAGGAAATGATGTCCACTGGAATACGATGATGGCGATTCCCGGAACTGGGCCTTTTCGTGCGTGGAGCCGAGAAACGGAAGTGGAACAAGTGACAAATCAACGCATGATGAAATCGTCGGCAACTCGTTGTTTACTACTTCCTCCTTGCAGAAGACGTGGAGATCATTTTTGAATAACGAAAGTTCAAAGAGCTCTTTCTGATTGTCAGAATCCTATCGGTGTAAGGCAATGAAGAACGCCTATTCAGGAGGTCTGTTAGGCTTACCCATCTTTCTACTGGGACCTTTTTGAGGAACAAGTGACAATTCAAGGGTACTTGAGGGGTAAAAAAGACCAGGACTTTAGGGGTACATCTATTTGTTGATTTCTACTGGTATGCCCTAGATGAGAGTGGTAAAAATTATGGTCCAAGCTTAAGACAATTTAATGATAGCAGGTACACCGAAATAGCCCCCAAAGCTAGTCACCACACAAGTTGACCATGGTGCAACGAGGAGTCATAGGAAATTTTCGTCGTCTGATTGCTACTACATTCCTCCGGCAACGGAATATCGTCGACTCAGACGACGATATAAATAGTCAGAGCATCGATATGAGGACATCTCAACTTTCTCGTGAGATCAACTTGTGTGCTCCTGGCTGGATGGGAAAAAGTAAGTGGTTCGGCCATTCATACCGTTAACTAAGATGTATAGGAAAAAGCAAAATTTGTTTTTGGCCGTAAAAGAGGAATTTTGGGTGGAAAATCGAGGCTGTGCCCATAATGTATAAGGCCGGTTTGAGTAGAGCCTACTATTCAAGGAACAGAACTGTCTTTTTCTTATAACATGAACTTACGATTAGTCTTCGATCAACTTTTTACGTATTCTATCCAATTTATTTCCACGCAGTACACCTAAATGACCAGTTTTTCGCTATCCCTGTCTCTTAGAATAAGAATCTCTACACACAAGTCAGGGGGGCTGTTTTGATATGCAAGGTATTCCTCAAAGACATGATTTCTCCTCGAGCGACATAATAGAGAAGAACAAATCGGCTCATTTCGCTGAGTAGGGCTGCTATTTGTAATTATAGGAATCCCAATATCCTTTCACGGTCTTCCCGACAAGAATAATATTTTCTTATACGTGTGTAGATATTTTCTGGCGGAGAAGTTACGGGATTTCCCGTAGACGTACCGGCAAGCACGATATTTAGAGGGACCAAATTTGTACGCTCAACCAAAAGTTAAGCGAAAAAGTAAGTCTGTTCGAACTTACGCAGCTTATCACAGGGAGATAAATAGTGAGTGAATTCCCTAAACCCAATGCAGGATCGCAATTGGAGGCGGATACCTTCTCATTCGCTGAATAATAAGTGAGAAGTGCAATGCACAGTTGTATGAAGATCAACTGAGATGTTTACTAGTAAGGAATCTTTTCTTAGAGGTGATAATGAATAATATTCTCTGTATGATGTCTGCATCCATTACCAGTACATTCATTACTTCCATCGCTGAATGGTGATTATGATGTCGATGTGCTCAGTTCTTTCAAGTATCAAGCGTTCACGAGAGTCATCTCGTCATTTGCTAGACCAGCAAAAACGTCCTTAGTTTCAGAAGGCTTCAAGCATCAAACCCTCCTTGAGATCATTTCTGGATAATGGCTTTCTGAAATTGAATTATAGGTCAGCCCAACCTTAAAATTATTTTTTCTACCCCAGCTATCCTATAGGGAAGGAATGATAGACAACTAAACGTTAGTTAATTAAACGAATTCAAACGCCCAGATATAGTCACGTAGCTGACGCTTTGACGGCTTTCTCAGTTAATAAAAACACCTTTTCTTTTATTTTTGTTCTGTGTTGCCATGTAGCTCGTTGAAAAACAAAAAGAGAACCACACCACGATAGGACGCTATGATTCTGATTAGGAGTCAATTGGGAGGAATCCTAAGAACAGGGTAGTTGGGGTCACAAATGGTTCCCTTTATCTTACGCACTTACATCCCTATGCACTTGGTCCCTACATCCTGTACAAACTTCTTTTTTCATTTCCTCGTTTTTTTCCATTGTTGCCAGAATGGGAAAGGGAATGATACTCAGCGTAACACGCAGAAGGGAGAAAGACGATAGCAGCAATGACGGAGGGGAACAGATGGCATAGGCTACCCCGTAGAAGCTTGGGCTTAACCAGAATTCACATTTTACCATGAGCAGGGATGATATCCAGGAACTGAAAAAGGATCTTATAACTTCTCCTATAACGTTCCTATTCCACCATCTACATATTCATTATACCACCATGGATTAATTTGAGACGATATGTTTACTATAGACTGGCAGCATTCACACGCATACGCATAATGATTACATATATTGAATGAGTTCATTTTGTCAAATGCTAATTTTCGTAGCATATTCCCACGAATTGCAGTCATAATAATAATAATTACATCCATGGTTCAGCCTTGTGAATGATAGCATACGATGGCGACCTTACTGTGAAAAACCTACACATGCCCATACACAGAGAATAATCGAAGGCTTCAAACGCATACTCTGATTTGCACGTCATTCGGATACACGGCGCAATCACTATTGAGCATCGGTTGAGGCTCAACGACATGTTTACCCAAAGTGAAATGGTGCCAGTAACTTTTGTGTATGCAATTAGAAGACAAATCCCATTAGAGACAGAAGCGAAGAAACTACTTTTCTTTTTGCATGCCCATCACTGATCCCCCAAAAATAAAGCCAGTAAGTGGTTTAAAAGTGGTCACAGAAAGGGGAATGGGTGAGAAAAGCCCAGGTTTGGATGATTACTGATTCGACGATTTCCTAAATCTCTAACTCTCATACGGATTACACCCTTTTGACTTAGTTTCCTGCTGGAATCCTATCCAAGCTCATCGTGAATGACAGCAAATTTCCTATTCCACAAATCAGCCGTAAGGGTGAGAAGTAAATCATGGGTGGACAGAACGAAATGAGCTCTTTGAATGCTGTCTTTCTTCCTGTTTTGAAATGTTCCCAGAGAGCATGTAAGGAATACTCCCGAGTAGCGATGACGTGTTGTGTAATTGAATTTTTGACAAATGAAAGGTCGCAGTATTGAAAGTTTTCAGGCTAATCTGTTCTTCAGAATAAAGTTTCATTACTTTTTGTAGAGTCAATTCCAAACGGTTGTAGTTAATTAGACTTCGGCTCAAGGAACTCATCGGAACTGCTCACATGAGAGGCTCATTCAAGACGCTGAATGAACGGAAATGTAATTGAAATAGCCTGGTCGGCTAATGAAAGCTTTGGTAAGCTATCACATAATTGAAAGGATAATTATGGTTCATATCGGTACGTTTTCATTACACACACACTTCTGGAAAGTGTCGCTTGTTTACCTTCTTGTTTATCCTCTAAGATCTGAGTTCTCTATCTCAAACAAACCTTTCCTATTGTATCTATATATAGACGAAAGTGTTGTAGTACCAAGTGGTGCACTACCATGCAAATGATCGGGGCTCGGATCTTGGATCGACCCCTCACCCAAGCCAAACAGTCCCTCGTGGGGTATATCAATCGGTGCCAGACTCGTTGAAAGGATATAAGCAGTGGTGGCTTATACATCGACTAGCCACCACATTAAATACGCCTCTACGATAATGAATGGAAGTCCAATGCAGGGCGTATCCCAGGATTGAAATGAATTGATGCCCGAAGGCGTCATTTCCTTATGTCGAACAACCTTCAAACGGACTCAAAAATTATCAGATTTCCTGGTTATATGTAATTTCCAGCAAATTGTAGCCATAGCTAATTTCATTGGCGTAATTTGATTAATAGCCTTACTTTTTATGTGACTATTACAAATTGGCCAACAACACATATAAAGAAATTATAACATAACTACAGAACACTTAGGCATTATAACGGACATAGAATTCAAGGCAATGACCTGAGTGTGCCTATGTTCTACTGAAGACTCAAAATTTTTCTCTGTGAGCCCTAATTCAGTGAGAACAAATGAAAATCCCTCTAAATTGTCTGCTATCGGCTCGATTACTAGCTCGAATAGACTTTTAGAACCTTCAATCATTCGACTGAAAGACGTACCCCATATCTTCCAACGTTTTTGGTACTTCTGCACTTTGACTACTTGATGACTATTGACAAAGTTCAGGTTAATCCATCAGACATCCTGTGATTACTGAATTATTTATTCTTCTGCGTTGACGAAAACTTTGAAAATAAAGAACAAATAATGTATAACATATGAATTTGATCCACATAAGCTACACGATTTAGTCATTTCTTTAGTCATTCAAAGACAATCACTTGATGATAAAGAAAAAGGTGGGTCAGGTTAGCTGTACGGGATAGGACAGACATTTCATTGCATTGTCGGTCTTAAATTTATTTGATTTCCAGCTTTTTGATTAAGTTGAATTTAACCATAAGCAGGAAATTTGGATCTCGAACGATTTTTTATCTGTATATGTCTAAGAGATACTAGGAAGTACATAGTGAACCCCTACGACAACTTTTGTCCGTCCATTTCTACTAAATTCTGCTGATGGCCATGAATCTTTCCCATCTAGGTAACAGTGGGAAAGGAGAGGAATGGGGTGGTATGTTGGGAAAAGCTAAGGTCCCCGAAGAAAAGGACAGAGACGTAGCGTGAAATTCGCGTGGGTCGAATAAGTGAGTGTAGAAGTGGCTACAGAGAAAAAAATATTAACTGATACAAATTTGTTATTATTAGTAAGTTCTTTCAAGGGGTTTACACAAAGAAGACGTCTTGGGAGGCCAAAACGAGGATTTCTCCGTTCCCTTAGCGAGAGTCTCCATCATAGCACTCCCTGAACTTCAAAAGCATATGTGGTAACTAGGAAAATCGTAGGTAAACTCCACGATTCTTCAAATGACGCACTGCAACTCACTTTTCTAAGCCATTTGCCTTGAACAAAGTGCGGATTGAAACAGTATTCTCCGGAGTTTATTCTACATAAAATTGGGCCCTTTTCCGAGAGGTGAGTGGAAATGTGTCCATTCATTTTCCTCTCGTCGGATGAGATTTTTATTCTCCCAATTGCTGAATTACTGCGTGCAGGTAAATGAATGACGAGTTATTATAATGCGAATGAATAAATTTATATCGAATAAATAGTCTATCATAGCCTCTCAATAGCAACAACGAAGAACCTAAGACCTTTGTAACCTAGCTCCTTTTGAAAAAAACGAGAATGGGCTGGATGTTGCAAAAATGCCTAGTCCGACAGAGAGCAGCACTGGGGTCTGCATATCCCCAGATCGTGACTGCTGGTCTCCTTACACTGCCGACTCATCTCTTTTTCCTATTGCTACGTTTTGTTCAAGGCCATCATCTACTAGTACTGCAACTTTCTGCATTACACTTTTTTTCCTTTGATGAATCTTAGGCATAAGTAAGAAGTGGACGAGTATTCCTCCAACTTCTTTTCTCAAAAAATTATTTGCTTTGCATTTTTTACATGTATATATGCACGCATAACGTTTCTACTTCTAGCGTCTCACCCTGAATGCACAATGACGTGCTCCTCTTCGTCACACAGAGAGGTGAAAACTTTTGGAAAGTTTCCTCGGTGGCACTAGGAATGATTATCTACTTCCCGTTCCAATCCTATTGAACACTTTGTAAATAGCCTAACCAGCCTTTTTTTTGCTGAAATTGGGCAAATTTCAGAGTTATCCTGGGCAAAAATCTTGAGTCTGTAGCCTTTCGACATCAATCAATAAAGATATTGGGAACACCCCAAACTCGACATCCATTCAAAATCGCAGTGATGTATGTGGCTTACATCTGGACTCCTGGTGGCCAGCCGATGTACGAGTCAAGGGTTCATACTCCCTGACGCCTGGTGCCAACTAAATAACGCTCGGTTGGTTTAGACCCTATCCGTCCCAGGTTCGATCCTGCGTGTGGCGCTGTGGGCCATTTGCCACTACACCTTCTCCGCACTAGAGAGCCTCCGATGCTCAAATGAAAGCGACGCATTTCATGGGTAAGGATATGCATAGTGAGGCAGTTGTATCTGCGGACGAGGTTACCAAATTGGTACAAAGGAAGCTTTTTTGGCGCCTATGAGATTGTACTGGTCCCGGGATATCCTACATCACTCAATCGCCCACATCAACTAAACGGATATCGCTGCACTTTTGTTCTCCATAAATTCTGTGCCAAAAATTCCTATAACTCCTTTGAATAAATGGCATTCTAATTTCACTCATTCGGCCCTTGTAATCTACCGGTTCATTAAGAGAGGATTGACGGAAAAGCTCGATAAACTTGTATTTGACGATGAAATAACAAAATAGAATACAAATGCTCTCTAATGGGATGCTGTTTGTTTTCCTTTTTGTTCGTTTTGCTCAATAACACCAACAATCTTATGAGGTAGCATATTAACTTCCGGGAACGCCAAGCATTTGCCGTTTAGTCGAAATATTCCAAAAAGCCAGCCAGGCCTCAGTATCAAGGAATAGAGCTCTAACCATAAAAGAGTCATTTGAATACTTGTTTCCACCCTACCAGGCACTCGTTTATTTGATGAAGTGGAATGACTATTTTTTAAGAGGATCGAACTTAGAGACAGGGCCTTTAAGAAGCAACACTCAGAGCAATTCTCTAAATGGGGCATAGTTAGCTAGTTCACTCCATCAAATGTTTCTTAATAGGCAAAATTATGGACCGGAAAAGAAATATCCTCAGAATTTGGTAGCTCTCAAATTTAAAGAGCCTTAGTTTCGTCCCTAGGCGATGTTCCCACAGCTTTCGGATTCGCACAGGAAGATGAAGTGATAATATAAATACGCACCAGAAAAAAACTCATAGCCCATGGCATAAAGACGAAGTGTACCCAAGAAACCCAATCGGATTCCTAGTCGAAGAAAAGCGCATAGCGCATCCGAAAAATTCGATCCATAATCTTCATCTCCACATTAGGTAGTATAAAATACATGACGTAGGCACTTTTTCCGGAGCAAGGTTATGCATGATCTTTTTTCAGGAAATTAATTGAATTTCACTAACTATCAGCTAATTTCAAAGTTGTCAAGTGCTGAATAGGCACATGTCAGCTCTTCAAAATGCCCTGGAATTCGTAAGTATATCACTTGATGGACGGAGATGTCATAGGCCATGGCCCCAATTTCTTGGCCGTGTTTAAAAGAATTAATAAAGAGTTAGGAAAAAATCTATTTGCTTTCAATTTCCCTGCAATCCAAGATTTGGGGAGCTCAGGGGAAGAGCTAGGTTTTAATTTCAAACAATGGCACCCGTTCTCGTTTTTTTTTAGCTTAGCTGTTGCTTAGCATCACAGAAACTGACTAATTCTTTATAATTTCATGTTTTGGTCTGCTTTGCAAATGCAGTGTTTTCCCCTTTCTATATACCTACCCATGAAGATTCGAGATTGAAAGGCAGAATTCCTTCTAGAACTTGAAAGACCAATTCCACACTCCATTGTACAGAGGGGACCGATTTCTTCACCTAAAACTAGGTATGCGAAAGATTCTGATGGTTTTTTCTGATGGAATGGAAAGACCGGTACCATGAAAATTTTTGGCAGCAACTGGACGAATATCACTGAATGAGTCCAAGCAGCAGTCCCTGACAGCATACGGTAAGTGAAGTGAGTGTTCTGCGCTGTTTAAACCTCCTTTCAGATGAACTACTTTTTCGGCTGGCGTGTTTCCTGAGTCGGTTGGCATTCGTACTTCAATTTAGCCTATACAAAAGCCTTCAGAGAGCGCAGATGCACATATCGGAGTTTTTCATCCATTCGGGTGAATAAGGGTATCACAGCTTTTAGAATTATGCAGTCCCTTTTGCCCACACCTCGAGGATTCGAAAAAAGCTGCCGAAAAGCAGTCATATGGCCGATGGGATTGGCATCGGACAAACTCGATCACTGTTGCAAGACGGTCTTAAAAGAATTTCCTCGAACTCCAATACTTGCCCGTACTGACGTTGCCCAGGTAATCTATCCTAGGGCTTCTTCATTTTGATTGCGATAATGCATTTTATCTGAACAGGAGGATCGACGGATCGAAGTTCCAGAGAGTAGAAGTTCTATCGAGCTCAAGTTTTGGTTTCTATGACCCATATCTTGCCATTCTAGGTGCTACTCTCTGAAATGGTGTGGTCGGCTATGAAAAAAAAAAACGAAGTGCGAAGAGTGATTAGATCTCAACCGCTCAGGTCATGAGTAAAAAAATTAATATGAATTTAGGGAGTTTAATCATTCTATTCCTCATAAGTTTAGGCCCATACGACCAAGGAAACGTCGAAGTTCTTGATGTCTCCTACTCTGAAAGTACAAGTCAAACTTTAAATTTGTATAGAACAGGGTTCTGCGGAAAAACTGAGGGGGAGCACTACTCACTGTAGGCTCTGTGCGGATCGTATGTCCCGATTCTTCTGGAGCAGACCCTTTAAGAAAGATCTTTTTATATCGTGACCTTTTTCTTTGATGGAGAATTGAGGTGATGACTCATCCAAGCATAACATCGCTTGTCGCAATCAACATAGAAGATCTCCAAGGCAATCAAGGAAAGCCAACTAATCACCTATTCATTAGGATAGTGCAAGAGCATGGTTAGTCGATTGCCATCAGTTTTATCTAGCTGTTCTGAATTCAGAATAGAATATGTACGCCACAAGGATTCAAAATTTTGGCATGATCTAGAGGAGCTTCTACTTAGGGATAGGATACTTATTGACCGATTACCCCGCCATGATTCTTCAAAATGCCTCTATATTTTAATTTGCATCTGAGGATAAGACACTATTTGTTCATTAGTTCTGACAGGAACGAAAATTCCACACAGAAGCCATGTTCTTACAATTATTTTACGGTGGAATAAAATGCAATGGACGCAATATTCCACGGACAAGATATTCCATTGGATGAGAAAGTTTACATACAAAGTCTTGCTTGATGAATCTGCTTTTATCAAGTGATTGGTGAACTCTCCCTATGAACTACTAGAGTTTACGGTGGACTAAAAGGCAGTCGGTGATTTTTTTCCTATGAATTGCAAGAGGGTCTCATGCACCGTCTAGATAGCTCCGAACTGGAGGGGAATTGTCTAGGTTCCCATAAGTTCAAAGGATTGAAGCAAAGTTTTTCTTCCAACCCTGATCAATCTCATTTTGGCTTGTAGTCTGCGTACCATTGAAGGTAAGTAAGTGGATTTTGGTTTTTTGAAAAGGCCGAGCTTCTGAGTAGGACTTGATGAAAATACTGACCTCGTCATACTGTTGTTGTGCGAAGACACCAAGTAGAGCAAGAAAAAGGATGGTAAGGATTCGAGCGAAATGATGCATTGGCGTTGCTGTTGACGTGATGCCAGCAGACAGTTCGTCTGGCGGATTCAACGTAGTCAACAAGGCTCCGCCCAGTTTGCTTGACCGGATTCCTCCCTCTTTCGGCCCTTCTCGATATGAGAGGAGGCAGAGAAGCTCCTCTTAGGGTAAACCTCCCGAGGACCAATGAGATGTCGTTAGAGAGGAAAAACCACCTCGTTAGGATACCGACAGGAAAAGAAATAAGTGGTTTATCATGCTTTCCAACTTAATTTCCAATTTTGTTCTGCAGCTAAACCTTCGTTATTGACAAGTGGGACGTTCTCTATTAGTTACTCGGGTTACAGTCGGTTTTTTTAAGCTGTTGATTTCTTAATCACTCAGGATTTTTATGGGAGTGACGGGTAATTGGGTCACTCTGACTTTCTTTGATACGTCACTCATTCAACCTTCTACACTTTGTTTAGGGACCTGGCAGAGACCCTTGTTAGCTAGCTTAATATTTAGTAAACAAATAAACACGTCAACATTTCTTGCTCACGACAGCTGGATATATGGCCTATTATGATGAACCGAAGGCATTCTTTGGTGGATATTGCTGAAATACTTCTAATATGTACCTCGTATATAATAAGATTTATGTGGACTATTCGAATAAGGCTTAACTCAATTATTCATCCTCTAGGGCAGTCCTGATGCCAATTGGCCATATGGGAGGAATTCTCAATACCCGGTTGGCCATCGAACTTTTTTTTAAATTCTGCTGTCTTCGACTACAAAAGATGAAGTCTTCAGCACCAATCAATCCCTCTTCGGGATGCACCCTACACTCGGCTTTCACTCAGAAATGTAGTGACATTTCGAATGTGTGCGACCTTTGACACTGGTCCTTGGTCGTTGGAGGACATGAGTGGGCACTAACTCGGGATTCGATCCCCTGACCAGCATGTGGTGAATGATGTATTACTCCACCTTAGCTCTTTTCGAGTTTAACAACTAGGAAACGACGGTACAGTGGCTGCAACGCAAAACCTGTCCACTTTCAGGTGGCATGGCGGAGAAGTCATCGGGGAAGCACCCGAAAATAACTTACCGTCCTTTTATAAGTGGCCGATTGAAGGACTCGCGTTAATCTTATCCTCCGATCCCTGAGTGGGTGTAAAAACGTAAATTAGGAGTTGACTAAGATCTGAAGATATGAATCAGG